TTGGCGGCAGCCGCACTCGAGATCGGCGTTGAGGTTGGTGGTATTGATGCAGAGGTTGGTCGAGACGGCTTTGCCAATGCAAGTCATGTATTGACTGATGGGGTGTTAGAAATGAGCATGGCTTAGTTAAGCAGCAACAAACCCGATAGAATTGAAACAATCAGCGACGTCTTCTTCGTCATTTGCTTGGCGAAGGACGAGAGGCGCCGGGGCGGGAGTGATCATTGGATGGGATTGGGCATTGATGGTGATAGCTATGAGGGAGGTGAGGAGGAAGGTTGAGGTGTACATTTTGACGGTTTTGCTCTGTTGTAAGAAAAACGACTAACAGAGATATATAGCGGTGGTCGTGCTTGCTGGCAGAGAATCCTGAATCTGGAGCCTTGATGAGGTCGAAATGATACGACATCAACCTGGGGCAACCAGGCCAATTTTATACTTCTCCTTTGACAATGACATCTCGAACTCTAGAAAACTCACCCATCGCATTGATATCCGATTCTGCTTAGCGTCTTTACTAGAAATCCCCAGGTGTGGTGATATTCCGCCTTCTCCGCCCCTGAAATCATAGGCACAGCCACGCCCCCTCTGTTGTTGCTAGCCAAAACCAACTAGGTGGGTTTGTACTGGGCCTAATAAGGCTGGTGTATTCATGACTGTAGCATGCAAGCCACCCACTCTCATATCTGCACGGGTCAGATGAATATTGATCCCAACGAAGTTGAGATTCTGCTTGATCTGGATGGCAATGCGAATGCTGCACCTTCTGAGTAACCGCCACGTTTGCTTGCCAAGAACCAACAGCTCACTGAGGCCGCCAAACAAGTCTCGCTTCTTATCACCGCCAAGAGCCAAGACACTGCCATTCTCTTTGAGGAAAGTGTAAATGGGAAGGGCAACCCCAATCCACGCCTGATATCTTTGGAACGGCATTTCGGCATCGTGATGGAGCAGGTACATGCACTTGCTGGGATGAACAATCCCTTGACCTCTTCAATATGAATGACTATTATTCGTGACAAAGGAACAAGGCGTGCCATGGGAACTCTCTCATCGCAGTTCGAGAACATTGCTTTTCCAAAAGAGGTTCTTTGTGATCAAGAGGGACCTAGTATGTACAGATAATCCATTCTTCACAAAAACTTCTAGAAGACCGTTTGGCCCCCTTGAAGGAAGCCTCAACGCCTTCATCTACCGTCCAACGATGACAGCCACAGCCGCCGCCACGTTCCCCTCCCGCAAACCAAGATCAAAATACGCATCATCAGACATCCATTCATACCCAAAAGTCCATTACTGAACTTATTCTTCAGGCTTCCGTCCGTAAACAGCATAACTATCACAATGTTAGCTGTGTAACGCCCCCTAGCCAACTCAGACGCCAATCCAAAACAAAGGGTCACGATGGAGACTCACATGGGCCAATAAGCATGCACCCCCCTATCCCTCAAATCCTTCCTCACCTCCACCAAAAACACCTCCAGCTCCTCACTCGTCCAGCCCAACGCCCGCGTAAACAATGCCACACTCAACCCAAAGATACCTCCGCAGAAATTCTCCTCAGTCCACAAGCCAATCTCCTTGTACTTTGGGTCCTTAGGCCAGGGGTTAATCGGCCATTTGTACACCTTCTCCGTCACATTGACAAACCCAGCATCGACCATCTGCTGCTTGTAGTACTTTGCGCTTTCGATGCTGTGGTTGAGGAGGTGGCCGGCTTTGATGACATGTTCGTTCCATTTGGCTAGGGTGGAGTCGGGAAGGAGGGTGTTATCGTCGGAGGTGGCGGGAAATAGGATGTCGTCGAGCTCGAGCCAGCCTCCTGGGGCTAGGTTGTCGAAGCAGCGGGTGATGAACTGGGGCCAGTTGGTGAGGGCGCCAGTGAGCATGCGGCCGTAGATGAGGTCAAAGGGCTGGTCGTAAGCCCAGGGTTCCTCGAGGTCGTCGACGTAGAAGGCTACGTTGGGGGGGACGCTGAGGAGGTGTTAGTGATGGTGTGGCTATGCATTAAGAGAAGGAATGGTACGGACAAACTGGGCTGGATGGGGCTGAGGTCGACGCCGATGACCTGGGTTGGGGTAAGTTGAAGTCAGGTTATTTCCCACTTGAAGATACAAGATGACTTACATGAGTTTCAGGGTGTTCATCAGCTGTGCATGGTTGTCAGTGTTTCGTGTTTCACAGGCGCAGTCGAGGAGAGAGGACACACCAAAATCAACAGCCCAGATACCAGTTCCTGTGCCGGCATCCAGCACTCTCTTGATTGGCTTGCCTTCCTTGCCAGCAGGGCAGGTGAACAGTTTGTTGTCGAAGGTCAGATAAAACACATGATGTTGCAAATCTATTGACAATATGTTAGTCTTTGAACAGGCAGCACGCCAAGACCGGGGTCACACGCCTAATCGATCGCTTTCTTGCTGTGACATCGTTAGTAATATGTCGCCAAGGTAGGTGGCCAGAATGGGATGATACTTACCTCATCGCTGGGCAGGATGTAATCTGAATAATCATTATACGCTGAAGTTAGCCCACTGCCGTGAATTGCTGTCGAATGCGGGCAAGGCTTACCCCGCTCGGGTTTGTACGCATGATACTTCCGTCCATTCTCCTGGCGGAACTTCAAAATACTCGAAGACAGCGAGGTTGAAGAGCTTACAATGGACTATCCAGGGGAAGTGGAGTCAGTGCCTATTTCACTGGCCGGGCCCGCGGTCGGCGATGGCCTGTCTCTTCTGACATTGTACTTGGAGGATGGAGTTTGGAAGCCGAGGAGATGCAAAGGTGTTGAAAGATTGGAGTCGTAATTCTTGAAGATGACTTACTCCATAGGTGGAATCACCATCAGCATCCTTGTTCCCGGCAAGAAGTGATCCGTCAGTATCAACCATTCAGACCGCATTGAAATAAAGCAACGTCAAAAAGCGCACCTCGTCAACAGCCAGTGGCTCGTCAGCTTCAATCACGGCTGCCGGGCCCGGTGGAGGAGACGGTGATTTCGAAGGGGACTTTGACATGATTCTGGTTACCTTTTCCGTTTCTGAAAACAACGCCTTGATGTTGCAAATTTTGGTGTTCCCAGAATGTGAAGAAAATGGTGCGAAAATTAAATTCTCGCCGTCTCCTCACTTCACCCCACGGCACCAACGGTCATTGGAGTTGTACCACAGCAAGCATCAACGCAACCTCACCCCACATTACATAACGACCCCGGATTTGTAAGATTGTACATGCTTATGGGCCAATGCGGAAGATTAGTCAGGAAAGGATGCCGAGAAAAGTATTCTGACTAAGGCAGGTGCTAAGAGCAATAGGGAAATTGGAGACGATTTGTCCAATGGCAGGAAGTATCGACGATGCGGTTACGCCATTGCACGATATGGGAATTGAGTACTTATAAACTCTTTATTAGAACAGTTCCCTTAAAGACAAGGCGTGAATCCTGAAAAGGAGCACACAGTATAAGGGCTTCAGAATGGAAGGAGTTGAAAGGGGGGTTTTTGTGCAACAGAGAAGATTGACTCATTGTCATGAACGGAAAATTCACCTCAAGCAATATAGCTGAAGGGTATGGAAAGGCCATCTGACTTGGTCGTCGATGCCCAGAAAATTCCACGAAGCTCAAGCTGTAAGTGACTTCCCGAGACCCAGTTACATTCATGGCGGTAGCAGACACTACTCTGGAAGTGTATCTCCCCACCCTCGTACGGTCCCACCAGTGCTCAATTAACAAAAGAAGCAGTCACACATCCGGACCTAAAGGCCGTGGAGATAGCGTCTCGGTTATCTAAATACTGACTCTAGCTTCAACATAAACAATGGATGTTGGGGTATCTGCGGATTTTAACTGCTTCCATCTCCGAGTATTTCAAAGATCACAAACTATTTTCTGAGTGGTTGAGATCTCACCTGAACTTTGAGAAAGACAACGATTGGAGGATTGCCTACTGTTCACAGCCAGGCTTTCCGGGTGCATTAATTATTATCGCTCGTAATTTGACCTGTCTTGGCTCTTCTTCTTTGGTTTTGTGTATTAGGGCGTTTGTAAGCCATGTAATTTGTCATCCTTCCGAGCGCATTGATATCAATATCTCCGCTGCTCATATTCATCTCACTTATTGTGTGTTGCATCAAGGCTGTCAGACAGCATTCGGAGAACTTCCAGAAGCCGTCTTCATGCGTCAGCCCCCAAGATAGCAGGCTGTGACTCAACTGCTGTGCTGCTATTAACCTTCTGTTCAGCAAATTTTAGCAATAAGTGGATAGGGTACCACAACAGGACCCTAAACATAAGGGGTCGGGCTGCCAACTAGAGTTTGAGGCAAAGCAGACGAGCAATTCAGCTGTCTAGACCGCGAGAAACAGTAAGCAGGTTTTATTCCACCAGCTGATGTCAAGATCGCAGCGAACTGTGCTACAATATACGCTTGTTTTGGGCTGGATTCTTCCCTTTGTTAGGTACGGAGGTCAGATGTAACCACAAGACTGGAGTAGACAGACACCTTGCCAATGCAGAATAATCATCAAAAAAGATCTTCAGAATGACGGGGCCGTTAGGAGGATGCTATTCTTACCTGGGCCCAGAGCTATTCCAGCGGAGAAATTTCTCTTGTAAGCCTTGACTGGCAGCGCTATCCGTTCTTCTCTTCCAAAGTGCCAAAGGGTGTTCCCCACTCAATACCATCCGACGTTGCAAGCAGTCAGCAAAGTTGATTGTCTCGCTTCCGATGTAAGGGTTGCGCTTGGGGGAGCGCATGAATAGGTATGTCAGCTTCCGAGTCTGATGGAAAGCTCTGCCGCACAATTAATTGCCTTCCACCGCTGCGACTCTCTTATACTACTAGTATGGTCAAAGCCTGGGTCACGCTTACGTTGTCGGTCTGAACTCCAACAAAGTCCATAGAGTTTCCAGAAACTCAGCATATCTCAATAAGTCACTTTAAACGACTCAAAGATAAAGACAAGAATGGCAAAAGATAATGTCGTGATAGAGCCACGATATTTGGACGAGCTGGGAATCGAACCCAGGACCTTTCGCATACAGTGGATCCTTGCATCATGATGGATGAAAAGTATGCTAAGCGAACGCTCTACCAACTGAGCCACACGCCCTTTTCTGATATCCCGACTCGGGAAAGTGGAAATTGATGTTGAGAATGCACTAACGTACTCCTATGTACCCGATCGGCCTACGATGCTTGAGATACATCGCTCCCGAACCAAAAAGCGACTTGTACCTGAGGTGTTCAGATAGTGTAATAAACGGCGTGAAAAGTCCCACCTGCGGTCAGACTGCGACGCACCCTGTCCACTCTTGCTTGTTAGAAATTGGCCACTGTCAAAGTCCGATTCCGTCAGTTACGGGAATAGCATCAGATTGAATCTGATATCTAAACCTTCCAAATCCCAAAGTCTCAGAAGGGCTTGCACCGTAAGAAAAACCTATAACGTTAAAGCAACCCTCCTCCCTCCTGCCACCCCCTCATCGTTCCTCACCACCAGCATCAGCACCAGTTTTTTCACTGCAATATTACATTCACCATATCTCAAAATGAGAACCTCCTCCATCACCCTCGCCATCGCCACCATGGCCGGCTTCACCATCGCTGCCCCTGCCCCCGAGGCCTCTCCCGAAGCTGCTCCCCAAGCCCCCGTTGATCTGTAAGCTCAACTCCACCACATCTCTCTACCTTCCTCACAGTCCGAGACTAACCCTCTTTCTCCCAAACGACAGTGAAAAGCGCCAGTCCCTCGGCATCTTCGTCACCGCCGACATCAACTTCGGCGGACGTAGCGAGCACCTCATCGTTACCCGCGGCTCTTGCCTCACCCTCGGTAACGGCTGGCCTAACGTCATCTCCTCCTTCGGTCCCGATAGCGGGCTCACTTGCACCATCTGGGAGTACGTCACTAACCATTCCCTCTCCTGATAATTTCAGTTAGTTAACAACAGGCGGCGAACACAGTGACAACGGATGCACTGGTGCCTCCCGCGGCGGCATCGTCTTCCCTGGCATCTCGAACTTGGTCACCGTTGGCTGGAACGACCGGATTAACTCCTTCCGCTGCAACTAGATGTTTGGATGAGATGGGCTAACGTTAGTAAGGGTTTAGATGGTGAAGAGTTAACGATGAATTTTTGAGATGGGTGGAGACTGGAGAGGTATTGAGGTTTTCGCTTCTTGTCATTCGTTTAACAAGCTCGACGGAGCCTTTCTTTTCTGTTGGACCTGCAGGTTTCACAAATTTTTGTTTCTCGGAAGTTGCTAAACAGAAAACGAAGTATGCTTTACCGGTTGGCTGTTTTTCCAGGCTTTGTTCTTTGAATGTGATATTTCTTGTATCTGACAATGAATTGTCGTTTGGACCAACCACTCGAGCAGCGGTTTAGATCACAACCTTTGGTGGGCTAACGACACTCCCAAGTCAGAGACTGCCAAAGGTGGTGTCCGACATTCGATGTTGAAAAGAATTTCGAAAATATTTGAAAGAGTTGAAGCTCTGCGACATAAAAGTGCCTATGAAATACACAATTTACATAATTTGCCAACATTTTAGGCATCTCTGCGTTATCTGCCTACCAGACCTTACCTAGTCCATTCCAAATCACCCCCAAAAAGCCAACCAGCATCTAGTCTAACCTAAACTCTCTTAAACCCTTTCCTCTCCTGGGTACCGGAGGTTGGGTGTACAAAGTGCCGGCATACGGGTGGGAAAAGTCGGAATCCCAGTTGTTCGGATTCAAGAAGTAGAACTCGACAAACAGTTGTATTTCATAGATCTTTGTGGTCCAGAACTGCCACCTCGAGGAATCCGCTGGCTCACAAAAGGCCTCCTGAAGAAGGTCGATCAGATGGCCGCAGGTTAAAGTTGGATACCGTCAAATGAGGTTGTAATGGAACGGTCTTTTGCTCCAGCAACGGCCTGAATAGCGTCTTCTTGCCCCACGTCCTCAACGGAATATGTGGTGGTAAGGGGGGTATAGATGAGGTCGGCAGTATGTGTGACACGGTATCGATGGGTATGAGGGAGACAGCGTTCGGGTCGCTGACATGGAGCAACTAACGCTGGTACATCGACGCTCGTTCAAAGTCCCTGATGGCATCTGTAGCAAAATGGTGCACAAACGCGTGTTGGGGAAGTCACCGAAGATAGTAAGAGTGTGCTGTTTGTCGCCATCAAATGCGGTGTTGTGATGTACAGCCTCTCCGTACCAAAGCCCCCGCGGATACCAAGTGTTGTCGGCGATTGCTAGGCTGTTCGGAAATCGTTGCTGTTATCTAGTGCGCCTATCTGCCCAGCTGGAAGGGAAGCGGACTCCAGGCAGTTTGCCAAGTGCAAGATTGGTACTTTCATCGTGGTCCTAGACAACAACAAGGTGCTGTACGTGGTCTCTGAACACCATCGGCAGTGTGTCGATTGGGTCTCTCAACTGGGGATCCAGCAGATTCACGTGAATGACGATACAGTTTCTCTTATAGAAGAGAGGCCATAAATTCGTCGTGAAGGACTGACGATGCGATACTGATTCTGTGCTATATCGTAAACATCGGGTTGGCCGGGTGTGACAAGGGCTGGAATTCAGGGCTTGGAAAATATGAGTTCAATTAATTTCAATAATCTTTCAGTGGCCTCAAGATCCTTGATGAGGAATCCTTTCGTCCCACTGCTCTACTCTCCTGCTCGCGTATTTATCTCGCTCAAAGTGGCCAGTGCTTGTGATAAGCTTAGGCATCTACCAAATCCAGTATTTCCCTCTGATTATGCACGAGCCAATAATGCCTCTGCTGCTGCCGCCTATAGCTCGTTGCTTGTTTCACTTTCCAACAACTGGCTCAGAACTTGCAGTTCACTGTGTTATCGGTTGTGGTCCAGGCTGCGGATGGTTGACGTGTGACACCAGGGCCCTGCCGTTGCAGCCGTGCTCCATTATGATCATCGGATACGATATGCTCGTATATCATGTTACGAATCTCGGCTGGGAGCCTGGATTATCTTCCTAGTGGACCCAGCCTGGAGGTCGAGGGCCAACGTGAGGAGTGGCTGGAGGTGCAGGTTGAAAGTAAGCACACCGGAAGCCTGAGCTGACTTGGCCACTACCTTATCTATATCGATCTCCGTAAACCCCTTTCGAACACGCCCGTACCCTTTCGTGCGTCTTCGCCTTGGCTTTGTGACTATGGAACGGTCTCTCTCTGCCGATCTCCTGTTAAGCTCCTCATTAAAAGGCGTCGCAAATTGCTCCTCAACGAAGCGGAGGCGTCTGGTGAGGGCCTCCTGAATTTTGGGGTTTTTGCTGAAGAGGTTGGAGGAACCATGCTTGACGGACCTGGAAGCTTTAGAGGCTGGCTTAGATCGTGCCATCTATGCAGCGTTGGAAAGGGAATGGATATCGAGCCTGGAACGGGGGAAAATGAAGCGACTAACGACTGATTCGAGTAGTTTCTGTTGATTATATCATGCCACTGCCTGTATTGTGTAAAAAAAGGCACCACAAAACAGATAAGATGGCAGTGGTTAGTAGAGAGCTCTTTGAGACTCGAGCGAGTAAGATCAAAGACGACCTCCAGATGCGGAAGTGGCTCCTGCGCACCAATGTCTCCAGAGAGGGGCGACAAAAGAAACCTGAACACTGAAGACTGTTTGTTGAACTGAAATGGTTACGTTAACAAGATGTCATACCCGTCCCTATTGATCCTGACCTGGTCGCCACCAAGACCATACTTTCTTCGGACCAGCTCGAAGATGATCAGTCCGGCCGATGTGCTTGGGACTTGTCTCAGGGTGTTCCACCAGAACCCTCTGTACAGCCATTGTCGCAAACTCAGCCCAGCCGCCTTCGCCTCGGCAGCGCATTCTTCCCATGTAACTTTGTACGCATCCCTGTATGCCTTCCACATTCTTCTTGAACTTCCCTCCTGAGTTGTTTTGAGTTTCCTAGCCTTGGAATCCAACGCCTCCAGTCTCTCCCAATGCTCGACCTGAATGTGTCCAAGCGGATGCAGAACCACCTGCTGCGCTACCGAGGCCCCCATTCCAGCCAGCAACAGAAATGCTGGTTCAATCGCATAATGAGGGCGAATAACGGTGGGCATCCTCAGCTCGGTATCATCTTCCCCTTCCAACTCTCCTGTAAGCCTGTCTCTCCTAGAAGTGACCTTGCCATCCAACCCCGCCGGCCTCCTCTGGGATAGCAGCACAATCGTGTCCTCCTCCAGACTCCCATAATACCACCCCACAAACCCATAGTACCCCTGCGCTTTCACCCACTCAAAAAGACTGAAGAATACCGCACTCCCCATGCTGTCCTTCAGCAAACTCAACCCCCACCCGGCAAATATGCCCCTCGGTCCAATCTCGGCAAGTTTCTCACGACTAAACGTCCACATGCTCCTCGGCCGAGCAATCCTCCCCTTGTTGTTGTTGTTGTTGTTATCCCCATTACAATTTGCACTCTCAACCGCCTCCCCCTTGGTCACACCGCCCATGGTATTGCCACTCCCCGTCATCCCCGCCCCCCCAACCCCCAAGTCATACCGCGCCTGCACTGCATCCAACGGCGCAGCAACGAAGCTCTGTATCGCACCTGCCAGAAAACCCGCGGTGAACGTTTCTACTGGTGATGGGGGCGGGTAGACCCTCTTGCTCGCTAACGCGCTCTCAGGGTGTAGCCGCCCCAGAATCTGAAGGTAACTCGTGTAGAGCATCGCTCCCACTCCCACGTTGGCTATCAAAGGCGGTAGAACTTGGTCAGGAACTACCCTCCACCCGTGGTATCGAACTGCTGAGGCGATGAGGCCGGGCGTGCTCCCCCGTAACCGCCCCTTAAACCAACCCCATGCCGCATTTGAAGAAGTAACAGCGCCGGGGTTGGAGGCAAGGTAGGCGGTGAGTTGCTGCTCTTGGATGGCGCGGGCGTAGGCGAGGTAGTCTACCCTCGTACGGAAAAAAGCTTTGACGGGAGCGCGAAAGTAGAAGGCGATTGCTTGAGAGGTGAGAGCTCGCACACCAGCGGCAGAGGCGCCTGTTGCTGCGTTAGTGGTGGGAAGTTTTCCTGGTGGTTGGAGGTTTGTCACGCCGTCGGGGAGGGTGGGGAGGTGCGAGTAATCTGG